TACTTAATTGTTAGGGGTGCCGCTAGGGTTCTGTTTTTGTAAATAATTGTTTGTTTTGATATTGTAACACAGTGATGACGGCTGTACCCATATTTTGACTATTTTATTTATAATGTCTGTTTTGTTCACGCATCGTTGTAAATATAACGGAATTTGATAAGACTGTCGTACAAGTGAGAGGTTTAGCGCTATAAAACCAGGTTCAATCCACCATTTTCTACATTTGAAAATGCCTGTACCAAGTCAGGTATATGACAGTTGTTGTCCATTCGTTTGATGTGTTTTGTCATTTGATTTTGCCATGTGATTAGGGACTTTCCGATTGAATTTTCCTTGGAGTTCAGTATTTTTGTGATTTTACTTTTTACCCCCATCCTTTTTATATAATTTATATTTTAAAAATGTATACCTTTTCATATATGGTGTAGGTATTGTTTGGGTTTCATGTGGTGTGTAATGTACAAATGAAATACCAAAGTGTCAAAAGAGAAAAATTGGTTGATAAAAACACAACCGATTTTTAACACCAAGAAAGATGACAGTGAAGAAGTTATGGGAACTTTATTGACATTGTCATATATTTCTGATAGTTTTCCGACCTATTCACACATTTTTAAGCCTGAAAAAGTGACATATTCCAGCTGTACATCCTTTCACCTTGTATATAGGAAGTGCCCCCACCCACCCCCCGGGTCTTCAGTTGTATCGCATGGTTATGTTAACTTTTTAACACATGACATGTCCTGATGCATGTGTTACAAATTATGCCACCTGCTGGCCCCACAACGAGTTGTTGCAAAAGTTCCGGAGATGCATAGTGTTTGCCACTATCTGTACACAAGGCATCGTATAAATGTACCAATTCTAACTAGACATGGCTGCATATATACTTGTACTATAGATACTGTGTTAACTGTTATCTTGATGACCAATTTCTTGATCAAATTATATATACATGTAACGAGACGGTACCCAAATTGCACCTATTTTGACAGTTTTTTCACCTACGTTTATTTATGATCCAGACAAGTTTCCATTCTGTGTTTATTTTGTAGAAGTGTCATTATTGTGTAAATGGTTCCACCAATTTAATTTTGAATCCATATTGAATCACAGAAAAACGGGTTTCAACAGACCTCCAAACGATCCAGAATACTGTAATGAGGAGTACCCAAATTGAATCAATGCTTAAATTCACATCCTTAAAAACCGAATAAGTTAGGAGATGTTTTGTGTAATTTTTTCAAATATTTAGAACAATTTGACATTGGTCCATGCTTAGTTACTGTTCATTTTTTAAGAAATGGATGCTTGTTACATATTTAATATTTACTCATTTTTATACGCCCGTTTACCTCTGTCCATCCGTCGTCAACATGTCGGACATTAACTCAAAAGAGCTTTAACCAATTTGCATAAAACTTTGGTGAATTGTTTATAAAAACGGGACGTATTATGGTATACCATTGTCCGTCTGTCCGTCCGTCCGTCTTCCGTAGATTTACTTTTTCCAGGGAATGCTTCATCATGTGTTCATATGCTGATATAAACTGTGAACGTTAACATTTTGTGTATATTTTAAATATATTTACCTATGTTGAAAGACGTGCATAATGTCAAATCATAAAAATACAAATTGTTTAGTCTCAAAGAAAACGTGTAAGATTTCCTCAGCTATTTTTGTTGAATAGGTGCAATTTGGGTACTGTGACGTTAATTAGTACAAATCAGTTTGATGTCCTCTTACACTATAATAATAAATTGATGAAATACATTGGTACTGGCAAATCAGGTTGGGAACAACCCCCAAATGAGAAATATCCCTTAAATTAGGGACTTTCCCTCGGGCAAGGGGTCATTTTACTGTTGTAGGAAAAAGAAAAAAAAACTTTTTTTTTACTTGAACATGTTGAAAGGGGAAAAATTCATTATAGTTAAAACAACTTTTCTAAAAGAGGGATCCCATTATTTTTAACAATATAAAAGAAGATATAATAAGTCCATGACATGTTACGACCATACATGTGTGTATGTATAGTTCTTTGGGAAAATTTTCTTCAAATAATATAAATATAGGCTCATTTGTATTTAAAGTGGTTTTTACCAAAAAAATATTTGTTATCTCTTTTAATGTACCCCTCTTAAATTAAAAGGGATTTTCATTACATTGATGGTCATTTGAGGGGTTGTTCTCAACCTGATTATGGTACATGTTAGTCCTAATATTTTAAGGAATTTGTTATTTTGTAAATTAGCTGATGTACATTAGTCTGAGACACGTTTTGGACTACATGTAGTGTACAAGGTTGAGTATTAATGAAAAATTGAATTCTTCCCTCTTGTTAGATTAGCTTATATATATTGATTAGCTCAATAGCTGGTCATACAATGTATGTATGCTCTAGTCTATATAGTCTCCGCAAGATGTACGTGTACTTGACTCCTTGACCATTGCTCTTGTGATTTATTGACCTACATATGCATGTAATCAAATTTGCATGTACATGTACTAGACTCCTTGACATTGCTCTTGTGATTTATTGACCTACATATGCATGTAATCAAGTTTTTATGTTCAATTTGTACTATCATGTTTAGCTACATGTAGCTGTGTAGGTCATCTATATTTGGTGTCTGCAATAATTGTAAGATGTGTATGTCTTTCTGGAAGGATTCAACTGACCACAGCCTCAATTTCCTGGTTCATGGCTAAAGGTGATCAGTGGTGTGTTTTCTGTTTTTTTTTAGTCTGTTTCTCAGATGCAATGGAATGAGCAGATCGTTAATTATATAAGGGTATGTTATGATTGTAAAGAGAACATGTCTGTCTTGCAGGGTTCATCTGAAATATTTTTTTGCGTGTTTAAAAGGGTGAAGTATCTTCTTAATTTGAACATTATTAGAACTGGTCTGCAGTGATCGGGAAGGTCGTGCGCCAGTTGCGCATTTTTGACCAGAAATGGCGCATAGAGTGGCAAATGTCAGCGCCAGTGTGGCGCACGATATTTTTCGGTTCATATCTAAACGTTCAGATATATAGTAAAATGAATTTCCGATCGTGTTTCGTGTCACCATATTTGTGTACAAAACTATGTTGTGTTCTCTCCAATGACCGGAGCACCACCTATATATTTTTGGGCCGTCTTGGGCGTTTTCCTTCGTGTTTAGGATAGCAACGTGCGGTATATCTGATTACCGCAAAAATATGATTTTCTGTAATTATATTTATGGTGTTCAAATACAAAGACAAAACTTGCATTTTATCAATATGTTCTATTTTAGCCATGTGGTCCATCTTGGTTTGGAGCCGGGGTCATCAGACAAATTTTTAAAGTTGAGATGACAAACCCTCAAGTGTGCTCACATGGCTCCTTGTGACTGCAACAAAAATAAAGCCTGGTCTTTTATAACGACAAAACTACAGGTACAATATACCTTTTTTTAGCTCACCTGGCCCAAAGGGCCAAGTGAGCTTTTCTCATCACTTGGCGTCAGTCGTCGTCGTTAACTTTTTACATTTTGAAATTCTTCTAGAGAACCACTGAATGGAATGAAACTAAACATGGCATGAATGTTCCTTATGAGGTGCTGACAAAGTGTTGTTACTTTGAAGCCGATCCATCATCCAAGATGGCCGCCAAGGGGGGACTTAGTTTAACATAGGACCCTAAGGGAAATACATACAAATGTCTTCTTTTAAAGAACCACTGAATGGAATGAAACCAAACATGGCATGAATGTTCCTTTTGAGGTGTTGACCAAGTGTTATAACTTTGAAGCCGATCCATAATCCAAGATGGCCGCCTGCGGGGGACTATGTTTAACAAAGGACCCTATGGACCATACATACAAAAGTCTTCTTTTTGAGAACCATTGAATGGATTGAAACCAAACATGGCATGAATGTTCCTTATGTGGTGCTGACTAAGTGTTGTTACTTTGAAGCTGATCCTTCATCCAAGATGACCGCCAGCGGGGGGACTTTCTTTAACATAAGATCCCATTGGAAATACATACACATGCTTCTTCTAGAGGTGCACTGAATGGAATGAAACCAAACATGGCATAAATGTTTCTTATGAGGTGCTGATGAAGTGTTGCTACTTTGTTGCTGATTTACTGTTCAAGATGGCCACCAGGATTTTTTATAAAATTACAGGGCCAATATTAAACCAAATTTGGCCTCACTCATATTTAGGGTATATGTTATGATTTTAATCTATTTTAACATGATTTCCAAAATTAAAGTAGAATCAGGTGAGCGACACAGGCTCTTGAGAGCCTCTAGTTTCAATACATTGGCATATCAAAACAAAGTCAAATCATCAATTTCTGATACTGTAAACACAATTTTTTTTTAATTTGAGTATGCTAGTAAATTGAAGGTTAAATACACATGTCTGCTATATCATGTACAAGTATTTCATTAAACATTGTTAAATGAACAAAATATTCCTTTATTACTTGAAAAAAAAATCCAGGTTATCTGAAGTGATGGTGAACTTGTAGTACATTTTAGCGGGACAGGTCAAGACAAACAAGGAGGAGTCCTTTATGATTACATCCTTTAAAAAATCTTTTGTGAGAACAGTATAGCCCAATTACTGACCCTAAATTTTTAGATGGTTAAAAAGTTATATAAAATGTTTTTATGAAAGTTTCAGATTATTGGATACATCAACTTGTTTATAATTAACATCTTCAAAAATCAGTTGCTAAAATATTGGTATATACTGGAAGGTATACATTGTACATGGAACTTGTGTGTACTTCTTGAAGTACTTGTTATTTTTCATATAATTTTCTTTTCAATGTTTCAAAAACCGCATGTACATTCATTTGTTTTTGTTTTAGAATTACCAATAACGTAATAGTTTTGTAACTTGACCATTGATTATTTTTTTCATTTTGTGAATCCAAATCATGGGTTAAAACTTTATCGCTACCACTTTTTAATTTTACTTCCAGATACGATATGAAGAGGGCAAATAAAGGTAATCTAATCAATATGTTGAATTTAAAGATTAGGAAAAAATATGATTTTCTGTAGCTTAAAATTTACATGAAATATAGAAGTGAAAAAATTGATTGTATCCCCTACAGAAGATATTTGTGTTATCAAAATTTTATCAATATTGCAGCAATAAGTTTGTTATGAACAGTATGAAATTTAAATCAATAAAATGCAATTGCGATCTCAAACATTATTTAAAAACAAATTGCACAGTTCTTCAAATTCAGTATGACAAGAGTCTTTGGATAGATTTTTGTTTTATTCCCTATTCTTCCATTGTCTCAATAATGTCAATATCACTATCAAATTGTAAAAACTCTTCCCTTATTAAAGGTGTCTTCACTCTGCTACTTCTTCTACTGTCTACATATGAATTACTACATGTAGCATACTGGTGGACTTGAGCAGTTATTTGTTGGTTAGATTGCTTATTTCTTTTTTCTTCCTTCCTCTGTCTCTTCCTCTCTCTTTCGTCTTCTTTTTCAGTGTCTCTCAATTCTCTGTCTCTTTTCTTCCTTTCTCTTTCCTCCTTCTTTGCCTCCTTTAAAACTTCAGCTTCTTCCTTCTTTCTCGCTCTTTCTGTTTTCCTCTTTTCTTTCTCTTCTTTCAACTTTTTTGCTTCATCATGCTTATACTGCAGTTTCTGTAGCATTTCATCCCCTGTAATGACTCTTGCTTCTGTTACAATTTTACTAGAAGTTTTTTTTGCCTGAGATGGATTTGCAGGGGGTAACAACACATCAGCTAAACTTTTTGGGATTAAGTTTTTTGTAACGAGTGGATTTTCTGTTGTTTTGTTCAGCTCAGTTTCTGTTGTGTATGTTAAAGTGTTGCCACAACAGTGACAAAGAATTGTTGATTCCTGGTGCTCTACAAAAGAAAAAAAATTTACACTATAATAGTATTAATTGAAAGGCTAATGAGTTATTGTCAAACTCAGGATAGAACTGTTTATACCTGTGAAACAATGATTATAGGTTTCATAACGAGTGAGAATAGGATATCGCTTGATAACAACTTGTGTTATTTAATTTCTATATAATAACGAGCCTTCGGTGAGTTTATTATTACTATATGATATATATGCTCGATGTTAATATTTATTTTCACTTCGCATTCATCGTTGAATTAAATAATAAACACAAAACATTCATCTGAATATTATTAAAATATTTTTTTAGGTTTTTATACGACCGCAAAAATTAAAAATTTTTTGGTCGTATATTGGTATGACGTTGGCGTCGTCGTCGTCGTCCGGCGTCACCCGAAGACACATTGGTTTTCGCACTCTAACTTTAGTTTAAGTGAATGGATCTCCATGAAATTTCACCATAAGGTTCAATACCACGAAAGGAAGGTTGGGATTGATTTTGGGGGTTATGGTACCAACAGTTAAGGAATTAGGGGCCAAAAAGGGGCCAAAAATAAGCATTTTTGTAACTTTCAGACAATAACTTGTGTGTAAGTGTATGGATCTCTCTGACATTGTACCACAAGGTTCCATATCACAAAGGGAAGGCTGTAATTGATTTTGGGGGTAATTTCCTCAAAATTTTAGGAATTAGGGGCCAAAAAAGGGGCAAAAAACAAGCATTTTTCTAGTTTCAGGACAATAACTTGTGTGTAAGTGTTTGGATATTTCTGAAATTGTACTACAAGGTTCCATATCACAAAGGGAAAGCTGGAATTGAGTTTGGGGGTAATTGCCCGAAACGTTTAGGAATTGGGGGCCAAAAAGGGGCCAAAAATAAGCATTTTTCTAGTTTCCAGACAATAACTTGTGTTCAAGTGTATGGATCTCTCTGAAATTGTACTGCAAGGTACCATACCACAAAGGGAAGGCTGGGATTGAGTTTGGGGGTGATGAATCATAAGGGGGTTCAAAAAATTTGGGGGGGGGGGGGGGATTTTTTTTTTTTTTTTTTTTCTTTTTTTCCTTTTTTTTTTTCTTTTAAAATTTTCCATTTTAAGTTGGTTATTTCTGATTTATATTTAAAAGCAAATAATAATGATATGGTAGGAGATACACACCAAACAGGATGTGTAAATTATTATATAATAAGTATTGTGCAATAGCAAGAAATTTTCAATTGCACAGTATTGCACAATAGCAAGAAATCTTCAATTGCACAGTATTGCGCAATAGCAAGAAATCTTCAATTTAACAGTATTGCGCAATAGCAAGAAATATCCAATAGCACAATATTGCGCAATAGCAAGAAATTGTCAATTGTACAGTATTGCGCAATAGCAAGAAATATTCAATTGCACAGTATTGTGCAAAAGAAGATACTTCGTATAAATTGCTTATTTCTTGATCAATTTCAATGGGGTTTTATTCTTGAATTCTTGTTCTTCTTTAATATGCTGAATCTAACCGTGTATTAAGTTTTTGGATTTTGGGCCCCGTTTTTAAATTGGTCCACATTGAGGTCCAAAGGGTCCAAAATTAAACTTTGTTTGATTTCATCAAAAATTGAATTATTGGGGTTCTTTGATATGCCGAATATAACCGTGTATTTAGATTTTTAATTTTGGGTCCCGTTTTTTAAATTGGTCTACATTAAGGTCCAAAGGGTCCAAAATTAAACTTAGTTTGATTTTAACAAAAATTGAATTCTTAGGGTTCTTTGATATTCTGAATCTAAACATGTGTTTAGATTTTTGATTATGGGCCCAGTTTTCAAGTTGGTCCAAGTTGGGGTCCAAAATTAAACTTTGTTTGATTTCAACAAAAATTGAATATATGGGGTTCTTTGATATGCTGAATCTAAACATGTATTTAGATTTTAGATTTTTGGCCCAGTTTTCAAGTTGGTCCAAATTGGGGTCCAAAATTAAACTTTGTTTGATTTCAACAAAAATTGAATATATGGGGTTCTTTGATATGCTGAATCTTACCATGTATTTAGATTTTTTATTTGTGGGCCCGCTATCAAATTGGTTCATATTGAGGTCAAAAGGGTCCAAAATTAAACTTTGTTGATTTCATCAAAAATTGAATTATTGGGGTTCTTTGATATGCCAAATCTAACCGTGTATTTAGATTTTTAATTTTGGGTCCTGTTTTTTAAATTGGTCTACATTAAGGTCCAAAGGGTCCAAAATTAAACTTAGTTTGATTTTAACAAAAATTGAATTTTTGGGGTTCTTTGATATGCTGAATCTAAACATGTGTTTAGATTTTTGATTATGGGACCAGTTTTCAAGTTGGTCCAAGTTGGGGTCCAAAATTAAACTTTGTTTGATTTCAACAAAAATTGAATATATGGGGTTCTTTGATATGCTGAATCTAAACATGTATTTAGATTTTAGATTTTTGGCCCAGTTTTCAAGTTGGTCCAAATTGGGGTCCAAAATTAAACTTTGTTTGATTTCAACAAAAATTGAATATATGGGGTTCTTTGATATGCTGAATCTTACCATGTATTTAGATTTTTTATTTGTGGGCCCGCTATCAAATTGGTTCATATTGAGGTCAAAAGGGTCCAAAATTAAACTTTGTTTTATTTCATCAAAAATTGAATTATTGGGGTTCTTTGATCAGTCAGGGGTACTACTTAAACAAGTGATTTCAGAATCACTTCCTCGAGTGATTTTGGCTGTGAAATATTAAAAATTTTCACACAGACTTTTTAAAATCACTGAAACAAGTAATTTTAGAAATTAAAATGTAATCACTTTAATAAGTGTTTATAACATTTTCTTGATATTTTTCCCACAAGCTTGATTTTTTTATTGGTAAAAAGACAACAATTCCATTGAAAAAACAACTATGTACATGCAGAAATTGTCTTTTGCTTGATAAGCCTGACACTTTTACAGTTTTTTTAAAATATGCAAAAACTGGAATATTTTGTAGATCAGGTCATAACCTTGAAGTAGATCATTCTAACTCTAAAGAAAACCAATCAGGTTACCTAATATTGTTGATCTTTGCCTGATAGTAAGAGTAGTTAATGAATTTTTGATTACAGAAAAATTCCCAAGGGTACTTTTAAAAGCTTTAGCGCACTAACTTACTACCCAAGCGCACTGGTGAAATTAATATACAAAGAAAAAGGGATAATTGATTTATGTAGGAAAATTATAAAAAAGACTGTGAAAATATGGAAAATCAATGAAATTAGCATTTGAAGATCAAAGAAAACACTAAAATCACTTAAATAGGTGATAACTGAATTTATCAAATCACTGAAATAAGTGATGATGAAATCACTTGTTTAAGTAGCACCCCTGACTGTTGATATGCCAAATCTAACAATGTTTTTAGATTTTTAATTTTGGGTCCCGTTTTTTAAATTTGTCTACATTAAGGTCCAAAGGGTCCAAAATTAAACTTAGTTTGATTTTAACAAAAATTGAATTCTTCGGGTACTTTGATATGCTGAATCTAAACATGTGTTTAGATTTTTGATTATGGGACCAGTTTTCAAGTTTGTCCAAGTTGGGGTCCAAAATTAAACTTTGTTTGATTTCAACAAAAATTGAATATATGGGGTTCTTTGATATGCTGAATCTAACCATGTATTTTGATTTTGGACATTGGACCATAATAGGTAAATTAAAAAAATTGAAGTTCTTAGACCACATTCTTTCTGTGTCAGAAACCTATGCTGTGTCAAATATTTAATCACAATCCAAATTCAGAGCTGTATCAAGCTTGAATGTTGTGTCCATACTTGCCCCAACTGTTCAGGGTTCGACCTCTGCGGTCGTATCAAGCTGCGCCCAGCGAAGCATTTTATTTTGTCTAGCCTGTGGCTTCTGTTACAAACAGCTTGACATGCTTGACAAAGGGATATTTATCCGGCGGTGGCGTTATAACTAACTTCTTAAAAGCTTAATATTTCAGAAGATAGAAGACCTGGATGCTTCATACTTTGTATATAGAGGCCTTATGATATGAAGTTTCCGTCTGTCATATTTCCATTGTCCTTGACCGTATTTTCATGGTTCAGTGACTACTTGAAATAAAAATCAAGATTTTTTGTAATGTTAATTTCTCTCATATAAAGAGTAATACTAGGATAACTTTATTTGGTACATGTATGTGTGAACCTTGCAAGGTCCTCATGAGCTTTAATACAGTTTTCACTTGAGCTCAACCTCATTTCATGGATCAGTGAACAAGGTCAAGTTTTCATGGTCAAGTCCATATCTCAGATACTGTAAGCAATAGGTCTACTACATTTGGTGTATGTAATGATTGCAAGGTGTACATGTCCAACTGGCAGGTGTTATCTGACCTTGACCTCATTTTCATGGTTCAGTGGTTAAAGTTAAAGTTTTTGTGTTTTGGTCTGTTTTTTTAAACTGTATGCAGTCGGTCAACTATATTTGATGTATGGAAATATTTTACGATGTTCATGTCAGTCTGGCAGATTTTATTTGACCTTGACCTCATTTTCACGGTTTATTGCTCAATGTTACATGTTTGTGTTTTAGTCTGTTTTTCTAATACTGTATTCAATAGGTCAACTATATTTAGTGTATGGATATATTATACGATGTACATGTCAGTCTGGCAGGTTTTATTTGACCTTGACCTCATTTTCATGGTTCATTGCTCCATGTTTAGTTTTTATACGACCGCAAAATTTTTTGCGGTCGTATATTGGTATGACGTTGGCGTCGTCTTCGTTGTCGTCGTCGTCCGAAGACACATTGATTTTCGCACTCTAACTTTAGTTTAAGTGAATGGATCTCTATGAAATTTTACCATAAGGTTCAATACCACAAAAGGAAGGTTGGGATTGATTTTGGGGGTTATGGTACCAACAGTTAAGGAATTAGGGGCCAAAAATAAGCATTTTTGTAACTTCCAGACATAATTTGTGTGTTAGTGTATGGATCTCTCTGACATTGTACCACAAGGTTCCATATCACACAGGGAATGCTGGGATTGATTTTGGGGGTAATTGCCTTAAAATTTTAGGAATTAGGGGCCAAAAAAGGGGGAAAAAACAAGCATTTTTCTAGTTTCATGACAATAACTTGTGTGTAAGTGTTTGGATATTTCTGAAATTGTACTACAAGGTTCCATATCACAAAGGGAAAGCTGGAATTGAGTTTGGGGGTTATTGCCCGAAACGTTTAGGAATTGGGGGCCAAAAAACACATTTTTCTAGTTTCCAGACAATAACTTGTGTTCAAGTGTATGGATCTCTCTGAAATTGTACTGCAAGGTACCATACCACAAAGGGAAGGCTGGGATTGAGTTTGGTGGTGATGAATCATAAGGGGGTTCAAAAAATTTGGGGGGGGGGGGGGGGGTTTCTTTCCTTTTTTTTTCTTTTTTTCCTTTTTTTTTCTTTTAAAATTTTCCATTTTAAGTTGGTTATTTCTGATTTATATTTAAAAGCAAATAATAATGATATGGTAGGAGATACACACCAAACAGGATATAATAAGTATTGTGCAATAGCAAGAAATCTTCAATTGCACAGTATTGCGCAATAGCAAGAAATCTTTAATTGCACAGTATTGCGCAATAGCAAGAAATATCCAATAAACAAGGAATTATTTGAATCTGGAATAATTTTGAATTCTGGAAAATTGATGAGAAATATATGATGAAAACTAACCCAACTAAATAGGGTTAGCCATGCGCGCATGGCTAAGGGGGGTTAGTTAGTTCATACTGAAATGATAGTGAAAGTAAAATTAACCTTAGCCATGCACGCATGGCTAACCCTGTTTAGTTGGGTTAGTTTTCATCATACATTTCAAATCAATTTTCCAGAATTCAAAATTATTCCAGATTCAAATAATTCCTTGTTAATAGCACAATATTGCGCAATAGCAAGAAATTGTCAATTGTACAGTATTGCGCAATAGCAAGAAATATTCAATTGCACAGTATTGTGCAAAAGAAGATACTTCGTATAAATTGCTTATTTCTTGACCAATTTCAATGGGGTTTTATTCTTGAATTCTTGTTCTTCTTTAATATGCTGAATCTAACCGTGTATTAAGTTTTTGGATTTTGGGCCCCGTTTTTAAATTGGTCCACATTGAGGTCCAAAGGGTCCAAAATTAAACTTTGTTTGATTTCATCAAAAATTTAATTATTGGGGTTCTTTGATATGCCAAATCTAACCGTGTATTTAGATTCTTAATTTTTGGTTCCGTTTTCAAATTGGTCTACATTAAGGTCCAAAGGGTCCAAAATTAAACTAAGTTTGATTTTAACAAAAATTGAATTCTTAGGGTTCTTTGATATGCTGAATCTAAACATGTTTTTAGATTTTTGATTATGGGCCCAGTTTTCAAGTTGGTCCAAATCAGGGTCCAAAATTAAACTTTGTTTGATTTCAACAAAAATTGAATATATGGGGTTCTTTGATATGCTGAATCTAACCATGTATTTTGATTTTTGGGCCCCGTTATCAACTTTGTCCACATTGAGGTCAAAAGGGTCCAAAATTAAACTTTGATTTCATCAAAAATTGAATTCTTGGGGTTCTTTGATATGCTAAATCTAACCATGTATTTAGATTTTGGATATTGGACCATAATAGGTGAATGTCCAATTTAAAAATTTGAAGTTCTTAGACCACATTCATTCTGTGTCAGAAACCTATGCTGTGTCAAATATTTAATCACAATCCAAATTCAGAGCTGTATCAAGCTTGAATGTTGTGTCCATACTTGCCCCAACTGTTCAGGGTTCGACCTCTGCGGTCGTATCAAGCTGCGCCCTGCGGAGCATTTTATTGTGTTTTGGTCTGTTTTTCTTAAAACTTGAAGCAATTGGTCAACTATATTTGGTGTGTGTAATGATTGTAAGCTGTATGTGTCTGTCTGGTAGGTATCATCTGACCTTCACTTCATTTTCATGGTTCAGTGGTTAAAGTTTAGTTTTTATACAACTGCAAATTGCGTCGTATAATACTATGATGTCGTCATCCGAAGACACATTTGGTTTCCGGACAATAACTTTAGTTTAAGAGAATGGATCTCTATGATTTTTTACCAGAAGGTTCAATACCACAAAAGGAAGGTTGTGATTGATTTTGGGGTGATGGTACCAACAGTTTAGGAATAAGGGGCAAAAAACAAGCATTTTTGTAGTTTCCGGACAATAATTTGTGTGTAAGTGTATGGATCTCTCTGAAATTGTACCACAAGGTTCCATATCACAAAGGGAAGGCTGGGATTGCTTTGGGGTTAATTACTCTAAAAGGGGAGGGGGGGGGTTGTGGTGTTCAAAATGTTGGGGGGATATTTTTTTTGGGGGGGGGTTCATTTTTTTTCTTCAAATTTTTGAAATCTTCAATTGCACAGTATTGCGCAATAAGAAATCTTCAATTGAAAACAAATACAAATATTTGAACCAATTTTGATCAGATTAATTAAGTCTTTAATTTTTTGAGGGTTCTAACCTTGCATAATTTTTTTTATATTGGGCCCAATTTTTAAATTGGTCTAAATTGTGTTGCTGAATCTTATTGTGCATTTAGATTTTTATTTTGGGCCCTGTTTTCAAATTAGTTCATATTAAGGTTTGAAGGGTCCAAAATTAAACTTTGTTTGATTTCAACTAAAATTAAATTATTGGTGTTTTTTTATATGCTGAATATAACCATGTTGTTAGATTTTAGATATCAGACCATACTAGGTAAATTAAATGTCCCATTTCAAATTTTTAAGATCATTGACCACATTTATTTTGACAAATTGTGTCAGAAACCTATATTATGTCAAAAATTGGATCACAATCCAAATTCAGACAGTATCAAGCTTGAATATTGTGTCCAAACTTGCCCCAACTGTTCAAGATTTGACCTCTGCAGTCGTATCAGGCTGCTCTCAGCGAAGCATTTTATTGTGTTTTGGTCTCTTTTTTTTAAACTGTATGCAATAGGTCAACTATATTTGATGTATGGAAATATTTTAAGGATTAAACTAATTTTTACGAGAGTTGATATGATGCGATATCCAATTCTCAAGAGTTGTTAAACCTATTTCTCTTATGGTCAACACTCTTTTGTGATAAATTAAAAATTCTGTGAATCGTTGATCTACTCTTTTGCACATACATGCAACAGTATGATGTCATATGTCTTTTTACAGTGTCAAACTATAACATCAGACATTTTAAAACTTTATACATCAGAACTTTTTTTAACAATTTCATATGGTAAATTCAGAAATCTTTGTGATGTTTGAATTCTTGATAATGTTGCATGAATTAGGTGTCACAAAAATAGAATAGATTTGCAAATAATTAAAGATGTGGCCACTTTTCCAGAAATTAAAAAAAAAATCTCAATTTTTTTTCCATTTTCAACAGATGCATGCAAACATTTCTTAATCTACGGAGTTAAGTGTTGAAATCAGGAGCATAATGCTTGCTTTAACATAGTTTACAAAATATTACCATTACTAGTGATAATTGTAACATCTACATCTGTAATCTCTTTATTTCCCTTTTCAGTTTTATGAAAGTCTGCTGGAGCTAGTTGAGAATTGGGAATTATGGACCTGTCTACAGGATACATTCCAGATTTCCTAAAAGACTCTTTCACACGTGCTAAGGATAAAGTCTGGTCAATTGCAGTGCTGGAAATAAAAATCATACCCATTATTCGAGAAGGAAGAATTTATAAAGTGAAAAGTAGTTATAAGGTATTTGTTCTTGTCATGGGTTATATCATACAGTAATAAGATTATGCAAGTGATGTGAAATAAAAGTTGGTGTGCTTCATGTGACTAAAATTTGAATATCAACAAGTAAGAAACAATGAGCTCACAAATGCAAAAGAAACATTATAAATCAGCCATAACTTTCAAATTTTCCAAGGGCATTAAATGTTACCCTTAACCTTCCTTCTGTCCCATTTTCTTTTCAAAACGAGAGTTGTGGCATTTATGTCCTCAAGACACATTCTCCTTTTTATGCCCCACCTAGGGGCATTATAAATGTTTTTCGGCCTGTGCGTCCGTCCATTCGTCTGTCTGTCCCGCTTCTGGTTAAAAGTTTTTGGTCAAGGTAGTTTTTGATGAAGTTGAAGTCCAATCAACTTGAGACTTAGTACACATGTTCCATATGATATGATCTTTCTAATTTTAATACCAAATTAGAGTTTTGACCCCAATTTCACAGTCCACTGAACATAGAAAACGATATCGGAGTGGGGCATCCGTGTACTATGGACACATTCTTTGTTATTTTTATGCCCCCGCCGTAGCGGAGGGGCCATTAAGTTTTACCCCTTGTCCATCTGTACGTACGTCCCAAAATTGGTTTCCGTTCTCTAACTTTAGCTTGCCTCGAGCAAATGTTATGAAACTTATACACAATGCTTATTTCAACAAAACTCAGATCAAGTACAAATTTGGTAGTGTCACTTTTACCGTTCTTAATTTATGTCCCTTTATAACTTTATATGCTAGCTGGGGCATCATCTGTGTCCATGGGAACACATTCCCCATTTCTTTTTTTTTTTCATCTACAATGACTACATGTTACTATATTTCCTTACAGATGCTTAATGAAAGGATACAGCTAGTAACTACTGAGACCGATGGAAATCAATACCTTGTTGATTTGAAAATCATGAAAATATGAATTATTCTGCCAAGGTGAAGAGGAAGCGTGGAATCATAAATTTTGGTTGTGTATATCATTCTATTTATCAGGTGAAATAAGTGTACAAACTATTATTAATTAAATTATGAGTTAAGCACTCTTATTTTAAACAAAATTTGTAATTTGATTTGATGATAATGTTTCCTTATATTGTGTACCAAAATTGTGTACCAAAATGCTTGTTATTTGTCAGCAAAATATTTTTTTCCCATTGAAATGAAAATAAATTTCACTAAATAAGTTAAATTGTCGAATGATAATTAACCATTGCAATACAAAATTCATTTATACCAAATAAATATTTTAATCATAACCCAGCATACTGTAAATACCTTAATAAAGCAGGAAACTTTGCTTTGCCTATGGTGGCAGACTTGTTCAGGTTTCCCACTGTCACAGCTAATTGGTTGACCTTTTCTTTCAAGGGACCAAAGATGGCAACATCAAGGGGCTGAAGCAGATGAGTAGTGTGTGGTGGTAAGCCAATAATGTGGATGTTGTTTGCCTTAGCCTTTTCAATCAGGTCGATACTAATGTGTGAGTCATGGTTGTCAAATATTAATAACACTGGTCTTCTGGTTCCACAGAATGGGAGGAACACTTTGTCAAACCAGTTTTCAAATAACTCTGTGTCCATATAACCTGATTCAGATGAGCCGTACAGCCAGGTATCTGGAACACCATCTTTAAAGTTCCTGTGTGGAAGGCAGTCGTCAAAAATGATAAAAGATGGAAGGACATGTCCATCAGCACCTATGCACATATGTACAGTGATGTGACCATGCACCATCACTTTTTGCTGATAACTATGGGAACCTTTTAGTGTTAAAACTTTTTCTTTACTTTTTTCTTTGCCACTGAACCCAGATTCATCACAATTAAAGATTTGGTTAGGTTTATTTGTCAAACCTAAACTATCAACTGTGTCAGAAAGCAGTTTAAAATACTGGTCCACAACTGTGACATTCGACATACGCCTCCTGGCTTTGTCCTGCTGTTCAGGAAGTTTTTCCGACAGTTCCCTGTGTCTGTTCAGGAGTTTGTTGATCCATTTGTTGCTCGGACCTTTGTCCATATTAAATAGTGTTTTCCTGCCTGATTTTTCCACGATTGAAAGAACAAATGCCTTCAACATCCTTCTCGTCAATGGGAAACCCCTTTCAGACATATACTTGACATAGTTGATCAAGGATGTCTCTTCCTCATCTGTTAGCATTTTTGAAGGCCCATTCAAATGGTTGTCGTATTTTCCATTGACATGGTCGGATATAGTTGTCCGCGGAACCCCATATTCTTTAGCTGCTTTTGAAATGCTCATTTTGTTAGAATTCACTGCACCAACAGCTTTATCAAGAGACTCCTGCAGGTATTGCTTTTTTTTAGGCATCCCTAAAAGTAGAAATATACATATATATATGTATATGTCAATAACACACTTAGTCATTATATGTATTGAAGTATTTCCGATTTTTGATGGTTGATAACTAGTGTATTTTTGTCCCCTGTCTTGCGTGTGGTGTGGGCAATATAGAAATGGTGGTTGTCCGTCTGTATAAAACAAATCTGTACCCAGAAATTGAATGCTGATTCCCCCTAATGTAAGAAATTTCAAAGAGAAAGCAGGCAGGAAAACATTTTATTTTATTTTTATGCAAGAGATCAATCTAAGCACATGCAGCTTCAATCTACAGAGAATTTTTTCTTAAACTACTGACCAGTAATATTTATTACTATAAAAATAAGATGTGATATGATTGCCAATGAGACAACTCTCCACCAGGCCAGGGTACAGCCTTTAACAATGAGCAAAACCCACTCTGCATAGGAAGCTATAAAAATTGTATAAGATTTGTAGGGTAGAGGACCATAGAATAAAGGTTTTAAAACTATTGAGTTATTAGATTGTTGGGAAATGAATCTCACTTAGTACCCAGATAATTTAACCACATATGTGAAAATGTGTCCGCTCTGAAGTGAGCTATCAAATTGTCATAGCTATTTAAACAACTTTACAAGGAATAATTCTTTTATAATTACTTGATAAGAATAAAAGATGTGTAAGCAGTTTTACTTGGCCATGGTCATTTGAACCCCCCCCCCCCCCTTTTACCCACAAGCATTTTTCTAGTTTCAGGACAATAACTTGTATAAAGTATTTTAATTGCTCTGAAATTGTACACAAGGTTCAATACCACAAGTAGAAGGTTGGGATTCATTTTGGGGGTAATTGCCCAAACGGAGCAGGAATTGGGAGCCAATAAGGGTCTAAAACTGTTTTTATACGACCGCAAAAAATTTTTGCTGACGTATATTGGTATGACGTTGGCGTCGTCGTCCGAAGACACATTGGTTTTCGCACTCTAACTTTAGTTTAAGTGAATGGATCTTGATGAAATTTTACCATAAGGTTCAATATCACAAAAGGAAGGTTGGGATTGATTTTGGGGGTTATGGTACCAACATTTAAGGAATTAGGGGCCAAAAAGGGGCCAAAAATAAGCATTTTTCTAGTTTCATGACAATAACTTATGTGTAAGTGTATGGATCTTTCTGAAATTGTACTACAAGGTTCCATATCACAAAGGGAAAGCTGGAATTGAGTTTGGGGGTAATTGCCCAAAACATTTAGGAATAAGGGGCCAAAAATAAGCATTTTTCTAGTTTCCAGACAATAACTTGTGTTCAAGTGTATGGTTCTCTCTGAAAGTGTACCACAAGGTTCCATATCACACAGGGAATGCTGGGATTGATTTTGGGGGTAATTGCCTCTAAATATTAGGAATTAGAGGCCACAAAAGGGGCAAAAAACAAGCATTTTTCTAGTTTCATGATAATAACTTGTGTGTAAGTGTATGGATCTTTATGAAATTGTACTACAAGGTTCCATATCACAAAGGGAAAGCTGGAATTGAGTTTGGGGGTAATTGCCCAAAACATTTAGGAAAAAGGGGCCAAAAATAAGCATTTTTCTAGTTTCCAGACAATAACTTGTGTTCAAGTGTATGGATCTCTCTGAAATTTTACTGCAAGGTACCATACCACAAAGGGAAGGCTGGGATTGAGTTTGGGGGTGATGAATCATAAGGGGGTTCAAAAAAATGGGGGGGGGGGGATTTTTTTTTTTTCTTTTAAAATTTTCCACATTAAGTTGGTTATTTCTGTTTTATATTTAAAAGCAAATAATAATGATATGGTAGGAGATACACACCAAACAGGATGTGTAAATTATTATAAAATAAGTATTGTGCAATAGCAAGAAATTTTCAATTGCACAGTATTGCCCAATAGCAAGAAATCTTCAATTGCACAGTATTGCGCAATAGCAAGAAATCTTCAATTGCACAGTATTGTGCAATAGCAAGAAATATTCAATAGCACAATATTGCGCAATAGCAAGAAATTGTCAATTGTACAGTATTGCGCAATAGCAAGAAATATTCAATTGCACAGTATTGTGCAAAAGAAGATACTTCGTATAAATTGCTTATTTCTTGACCAATTTCAATGGGGTTTTATTCTTGAATTCTTGGGGTTCTTTAATATGCCGATTCTAACTGTGTATTAAGTTTTTGGATTTTGGGCCCCGTTCTTAAATTGGTCCACATTGAGGTCCAAAGGGTCCAAAATTAAACTTTGTTTGATTTCATCAAAAATTGAATTATTGGGGTTCTTTGATATGTCGAATCTAACCGTGTATTTAGATTCTTAATTTTTGGTTCCGTTTTCAAATTGGTCTACATTAAGGTCCAAAGGGTCCAAAATTAAACTTAGTTTGATTTTAACAAAAATTGAATTCTTAGGGTTCTTTGATATGCTGAATCTAAACATGTATTTAGATTTTTGATTATGGGCCCAGTTTTCAAGTTGGTCCAAATCGGGGCCCAAAATTAAACTTTGTTTGATTTCAACAAAAATTGAATATATGGGGTTCTTTGATATGCTGAATCTAAACATGTATTTAGATTTTTGATTTTTGGGCCCCATTATCAACTTTGTCCACATTGAGGTCAAAAGGGTCCAAAATTAAACTTTGTTTGATTTCATCAAAAATTGAATTCTTGGGGTTCTTTGATATGCTGAATCTAACCATGTATTTAGATTTTGGATATTGGACCATAATAGGTGAATGTCAAATTTAAAATTTTTAAGTTCTTAGACCACATTCATTCTGTGTCAGAAACCTATGCTGTGTCAAATATTTAATCACAATCCAAATTCAGAGCTGTATCAAGCTTGAATGTTGTGTCCATACTTGCCCCAACTGTTCAGGGTTCGACCTCTGCGGTCGTATCAAGCTGTGCCCTGCGGAGCATTTTATTCTAGTTTTCAGACAATAACTTGTGTTTAAGTGTATGGATGTCTCTTAATTTGTACCACATTCTACAAAAAGAAAGATTCTTCTAAATTTATTTTTTTGGAAAGGGGGGGGGGGGGGGGGGGGGGGGGGGTTTAAAAAAAAAAATTTTTTGGGGGGGCAATTATTTTTCCTCAAAAGAAAATTATCTTCAAATATTATTTTTTTTTGGAGGGGGGGGGGGGGGGTCAATTTTTATTCCCTCAAGATTTAAGAAGTTGTCAATTTTCCAAAGAAAAATTTTAATGGCGGTCACAATTTATTTTGCTAATTCTTTGTATATAGTCTGAAAACAGATTTACCATAGTATTGCACAACAGCAAGAAATCTTCAATTGAATATAAATTCAAATCATACATTTGGATTCCGGACAATAACTTTAGTTTAAGTTAAGTGTATGGATCTCTATGAAATTTAATCAAAACGTTCAATACATCACAAGGAAGGTTGGGATTGTTTTTTGGGGTGATGGTCCCAACCGTTTAGGAATTAGGGGCCAAAACAAGCATTTTTCTAGTTTCAGGACAATAACTTGTGTTTAAGTATATGGATGTCTCTTAATTTGTACCACATTTTACATGAAGAAAATTCATTCAAAATTAATTTTTTTGGAAGGTTTTTTTTCCTCGAAAGAAAATTCTCTTCAAATATTTTTTTTTTTTGGAGGATGGGTAAAAAAACAGTTTTTTTTGGGGGGGGGTGGTCTATTTTTGTTCCCTCAAGATTCAAGAAATTGTCAATTTTCCAAAAAAAATTGAGGGTCACAATTTATTAAATTGCTAATTCTTTGTATATAGTCTGAAAACAGATTTACTAAGTATTGCGCAACAGCACAGTGTATTGCACAACAGCAAGAAATCTTTGACTACATTTATTCTGTGTCAGAAACCTATAATGTGTCAAATATTTAATTACAATCCAAATTCAGACCTATATCAAGCTTGAATATTGTGTCCATTTTTGCCCCAACTGTTCAAGGTTGGACATCTGCGCTCAGCAAATCAGTTTATTTATATAGATTAGACCGTTGGTTTTCCCATTTGAATTGTTTTGCACTAGTCATTTTGGAGCCCTTTATAGCTTGCTGTTTGGGGTGAGCCAAGGCTCTGTGTTGAAGGCCATACTTTGACCTATAATTGCTAACTTTTTATACATAGCAGACTTGGATGGAGAGTTGTGTCATTGGTGCTCATACCACATCTTATATATATTAGTTACAGATCAAGTTTTAATTTTTTTCCGAACTAATGATTTTGTGCAGAGTTATGTTCCTTGGACTTGGAAAATTAAGGCAAGTGATCAGCTTTTTTCATTTTTTTCATTCATTGATTGATATTTGGTATATAGTTTAACCATGACAAGTTGTAGATAGGTGTGCAATTTGTTCAGTTTGGATGATTTTATTGTAGCATTATGGTCCTTGGACTTAAAAAATCACTCAAAAAATCATTTTTCCATCGATATGTTATGGCAATGTCTGCTTCTGAGTCGAAAGACATTTTGGTGTGCAAAAAATAACTTGAATACAATTGTAATGATCTCTCTGAAATTTTAGCACAAAGTTCCATACCACAATCGGAGGGTTGGGATTGATTTTTGGGGTGGTTGTTTTGTAATTCGGGGCCAAAAACAATTATTTGTATGGTTTGAAGACAATAACTTGAATATAATTTTACTACAAGGTTACAACATACTTAAAAAGAAAGTTGGGATTGATTTGAGGGTCATGGCCCAAACTATTTAATAATAAGGGGTCGGAAAGGGGCCAAAAACAACTATTAAAAAGTTGGTCCAAATTGTGGTCAAATATTAAACTTTTTAATGTCATCAAAAAATGAAATTGGTGTTCTTTTATGTGGGCAATCTATCTGTTTTAAATTTTTGGTTTTTGGACCGTTTTATGTTTACTGGACGTATGGTGGTATACGGTTGTCCGTCCATCGTCAACATGTCGGACAATAACTCAAAAACGCTTAATTCAATTTGCAAATTTGCATGAAACTTTGGTGAATTGTTTAGATCTATTGATGTGATCTCCCTTTCATAAAAGAATTTTAGATTTTATGTTTTAGAGTTGTGGTTTTTTTTCTTTAAAAAGGGTGATTTTCCAGTTTTCGGACTAAAACTTAAAAACTCTTTTGAGCAGTTTCATGAAACTTTAGATTTTACTCTTCTGAGTGGTGGGATTTTAGTCCATGGGACACGGATGATGCCCCCGCTTGCATATAACGTTATAATGGGGCATAACTCAAGAACTGTAAAAGTGATGCTACCCAAATTTGTACTTGATCTGAGTGTTGTAGTAATAAGCATTGTGTAAGTTTCATAACATTTAGTTGAGGTATAGAAACTAAAATATTTGGAATTTTTATACGACAGCAGGTAGTACTATGTTGTGGTGTTGTCTGCGTCGGAAGACATTTTTGTTTCGCAGACAATAACAAGTATAAGTTCATGCATCTCTGAAATTTTAGCACACGATTCCATACCAGTAAAGGATGGTTGGGATTGTTTTTGGGGGCTACTGTCATTGCGGTTTTGTAATTAGGGACCAAAAAAGGTAAGTTTTACTGGTTAATGGAAAATAAATTAGTTCGCGAGAATTACTTAGTGTAAGTGTATGGATGTGTAAGAAAAGGGCCAAAAAAAATTTATTGTCTGGTTTTAAGACCATGACAAGTAAGGATTTTTTTTTGTCTTTTAACACGAGGTTCCACACCACAATAGGAAGGTTGGAGGTCAAAAAAGGTTGTAACAAAAAAAAATTTTGCAGGTTCACAGACAATAACTTGAGTATATGTGTATGGATCTTAGCACAAGGTTCCATACCACAATAAGAAGGTTGGGGTTATTGTCGTAGCTGTTTAGGAATTGGGGTGCCAAAACAAGCATTTTTAGCTCACCCAGCCCGAAGGGCCCCATGTTAACTTGCGCCATCACTTGTTGTATGTCGTAAACTATTTCAAGAAACATCTCTGAAACTACCCTGGGTAATACTTCTTTTAACTGAATGTTCCTTAGGGTAACTGGTTTATAAATTGTATCAGAAGTTTTGATCCATTAACAAACATGGCCGCCATGGCTAAAACTAAAACATAGGGGTCAAATGCAGTTTTTGGCTTTTATCTAAAAAATTATAGCAGTTAGAGCAAAAGTGACATGTAGTTAAAGTGATGAATAAGTCTAGATCTATCTGCTATGAAATTTTCAGACCAATTGGACCACCCATTGTAGGGTTACTGTCCGAAATAGTTTATTTTTATGAAAAAAGTTTCAGCTAAGTAGGATCTACAAATAAGTCAAATGATCAAAATAGTCAATTGACTCTTTAAAGAGTTATTGCCCTTGAAACGTTTATTTTTTTACATTTT